CTCACCTTGTTGCAGCGATGTAAAGCTGTGGATGTGATGAGAGGTGAAACAGGCTGGACACTTTGAACCGCTTAAAACCCCCTTAAACCATCAGGTCCATGTGCTCATAAGTTTGATTCTAGCTGGGCTGGCTGATACTTCTGCCTCTGTCTTATAGCGTGGTCCATGGTGTTAGTGAGAATATCAAATTCATCATTATCAGTCAAGTCATTAGTAAAAGATACGACTTCAGTCAGTGGGACATGTTGATTTTCCCGCTCCTTACCCATCATAACATTGAGTCTATTCCAGCCTTCCCTGGCAGAGCCGACTCTCCATCTCTTCTTTATGTTTCCTCCTGTTCTCTAAAACTGATTTTAGTTCCTGTCTATTTGGCTGAACTAGGTCGCGTCCCCATTTGTTAAAGCAATTCTCCTCTTTTTGATACATGGTCGTGTATATATGGCTCCTTTCAACTGTCCTACCTGCGGCCTCTTGATGTTTNAAACTGATTTTAGTTCCTGTCTATTTGGCTGAACTAGGTCCCGTCCCCATTTGTTAAAGCAATTCTCCTGGTCCAGTTCCTGCATCAGGATGATTGTGGTCCCCCAAACTTAACCTGAGGGTCAGATAAAAAGGCCTGACTGACACTGTCAGTAGTGATTGTTGCTTCTGGCTTTAGCCGTGTGTTTGTGTCTTTGTTGATGAGATTATACAATTTGAAGTCAATCTTGCTGTTAACTCCTCAGTTTAGTTGTTGAAAAATTGCGCCATTTGTGTCTCAAGATCTCGACACAGTCCATGGGGATGTGGTGTTTGAAACTCCCGACTTGGGCGTTTGGGCAAAAAGTCAATGTCTGCTCCAGTGTAGGTAAGTTCAGCGTCATCATCACACTCCAAAGACAATAGCAACGTGAAGAAAATCACCATCCAAACATTGTGAAGTTCCATATTCAGAAACTGAGTGCTTCGTTTTTCTCGAGAGGTTAGACACATCAACACACGAGACAGGATTCAAAAATACACAAACAAACAAACCACAGACGTGAAGAACTTAAGTTGTGTGCTTTTCCAGTGTTCTCCACTCTCTTCACTGACACAGGATAAGTGTTATAATCCATCTGAAATTCATAGGCCTAAACATTCTCAAGCCCTTGAAGATCTGATCATCACTTAAGTGTGTGTCATGCGGGTCAAAGTTGTCATATTGACTTTTAAGGTGTATTGATTGACTCGCAAAAGTCCAATCATGCACTGAGTAACAATATTCCACCTTAAAAGTTGCTAGTAGCTTCCGGTAGCCTTTGCTAATTAAATTACAGTAAATTAAATAACTTTTTTTCTACCAAGCTATTTTTAATTAGTGACGATGAAGAGGCAGAAAAACATGTTTCTTTATTTGTGATGCATTTGCAAAGAAACATGAGAAAGCTTGTTAAACTTGGAGAGTTTATGCTGCTGGAAAGTGTGCTAGTATGAAACTATTCATCGAGTCACAGTAACATGGTCAGTTATGGTTGACTAATGTATGTAAACTCGTCACTGTAGAAACAGTGGTTACATAACCTTCATGCATGAATGCGCGTGTGTCATAGGTGCACTCCTTAAACAAATAGCACTGCACCTCACAGATGGACCACTGCCACATTGGTGCAGTGAACACACATTGACACTTGTTACGTTTCGAACCCCCGAAGGTGACGCAATCTGCCAGATCTGCTCAAATTGCTGTGAACTGGAATGAGCTAGAAACATTAAACTCGGCCCAATCGGCCACATGGTGGCGGTGTAATTAAGACCAATTTTGGAGAGGCCACGCCACTCACACCGTTTGTCAGATTGACTTGATTGGACACACAAGTCCAGCTCAATGTGCTCTACAAAAAAGCATTCTGGACCATATTAGTCCGCCATGATGGATTTTTCGCTAATTAGCATAATGTGAAAGACACTAAAATCAATAGAACTTTATGAATTTTTACTTACTAAGCAATACCAAATTTTGTATATTGGCTAGGGGAACTAAATGAGCAAGATCGGTCAAAAAACATGGTCGCCATCTTCCAAAATACAAGATACTTTCAGGCTGTGATAGGGAATAGGCCTACCAGAGCATTTTGAGCCTGACCAATAGGGGGCGACACAAATATATATTATATCATACAATATGCACCTCAAAACCTGGTGGACAGAATTTCACCAAATTTGGTGCACATGTTCTGGGGGCAAGTATTAACAAGTTGGGACCTGCTAATTGCCACTTGTGGCTATAATCTTGACTATTGTTGAAATCCAAAGAAGATCAAAATGAAGGATGGCACCTTTCACAAATGTTAAGAAAGCCTGAACAATGGGAGACTAAAACTTTGAATGGAAGCCACGTAACCAATAAGAATTTATTGTCACAAGCACAATTTGTTACACAAAAATAATGGGTCACATTTACACAATTTGTACAGGTCTAGAACTCAATGTACAATGAACAGACTAACTAAATACCAATAGTTAAATATGTACTCACATTGCACACAATATCATTAAAACCTACACAAAAAACATATACTGTGTGAAAGTAACACGAGTCGACATAAAAATCACATTATTTACAAAAAAAAACATCAATTTGAGATCTTTAGCAAAAGGACTCGATGTCTGCTCGAGGTTCTCCCAACCGTCTGTCAGAGACATTATACAATCTATCATGTAAAAGCTCCCCTACTAGAAAGTATTATTCAATCTCTTAATAGTTGAAAAGATTATAAAGTAATTAAGTCAAGTAGCGAGAGCTGAAGAACACCAAATACACTAGTAAATACTGCGCTTTGCTTCGACGGTATGGCGGTTTTTCCCTTTTAAAGCAGGCTGGTGAGATTAGCAGTTAGCTTCATGAAGTGCACTTTAAGCCTTAGTTCAGCAACTGTCTGCGATGAGTTGATTTGTTTTTTTTTTTTCTTTTTTAATTTAGTTTGATTTATACATAGAATCCTTCTGTACTGGCATCAGGTTGTTCTCTAGAGTTCTGGACATCACTACATATAGTTTACACAATAAGGTTGATGGAGAGAGTGAGGACAGCAGCAGGTGGAGGTGAGCAGCTTCCCCTCCCCTGCTGCTGTTTGGCAGAGTCAGTGAAGAGGCTGCACGAGGCAGATGGAGGCGAACGTCTTCAACATAAATCTCACTATGTCTGAGAAAACGGGTCGTGTGGGGACGTACTGCCATGTGCCTCAATAGTGTTGTCAACTGATGCTCTCTACATACACTGCAGGCGTGCAGAGGAGGTGCTGGTCTGTTGGTCATACTGGACTGTGAGGTAAGTGACATCCTGTCTGGTCTGACACATGCATACAGTCATCAGCTGACTCATTGTGCTGTGTGTCCACTGTTTTCTTTCGGTCATTGTGAGAATATTTACACATGCAGACTATTTATTCTTATGAATTGCTTAATTATTCTGGACTCATAATGAACATGATGGCATTGAACTGTCCTTCATTTGGCACTGATAACATCCCCTAATGAGCAGTGACACCCACTGACTGATGACAGCAGATCTAATGTATGACCCTGTGTGTGTTATTGCCACACTGCTGTATGCACCATCTAAGGTGACCACGTATTGACCTGTGTGGTGTCAGTGCACGTCTTTACAGGAACTGGGAAAAGAAACAAAAACAATAATGTTCAGTGTGCACAGAACCAGCCGGTGTTTTATATTTTCGCATCAGTCACATCCTGGTTGAGCAAGAACTCTCATAAATTTGGGACATTTTTCTGGAGTGGTACAGACCTACATTCCTCAACAGAGAAGTAATGATTAATTAGCGTGTTATGTGGAGATATTGAGCAGTAAAACTGTCAGCCCTACATCAACACCATCACTAAGAAATGTCAAGTCAATAAGTATATATTTAGGGTAGATTTACTGTGGACTATTTCAGTTGTCCAGAAACAAGCGCTCATTTATGATGTAATCAACCTGTGTATTAGTACATGACAGACCTCTCTCTTTGTTGTTCAAGGCAGAATGACTTATAAGCGAATGTTTTTTTTCTCAGGTGTAATTATTGCATGTTGAAAATCAGCCCTAATACACTCCAGACAGCAGCGGACACACACACATCTTCTATGTGTAGTAACAGTCATGAATTGTGTTCATCTGCATGTAAATACGTCATGTGGACGTAGATTTTTTGTGAAAACTTGCCGTCACTTATCAGATCTGAAGGTGATAATGATAACACTCAGACCAGCCTCTGACAAACACATCTCTCACCTCTTGACTGACCTCCTCTGGTCACACTGAGACTGACTGCAGAGAGCCTGCCACTTAGAAGAGCCTGAGACACTGACGACAGACAGAGCTGATACAGGTTGACTGATGTTCCCTCCATCTGACAGTGGCGCTCCTCTTCACAGCGATGAGGTATGTGTATTTTCACAGATACATACTGCGGGCCTTTGCAGCCCAAACATTTGTGGACTGTTGTGTTTGTATGCGTGCGAATGACAAGTGCACCCAGACATTCACCATGCTGCACATCAGCCGTGTGTTGGTGATCCAGCAGTTTACACTACCATTCAACGGGTTTACAACACCTCCATTTATCCAGTTACTGAAATTTACAGCCTGATGTCTCAGTGTTTCTGAAATGAAAGCATCAGACATATAAATAATAAAGATTTTAAAAGAAAAGAATCATGAAATCTTTCAATTTTTGACTGATTCAGAAGCTCATGAGGTTCTTTCTAAAATGGAAATAAAACCCTGCTGCAGAAGTTCCCACAAATGTGTTGCACTGGTTTGTTTTGCTTTCACCTTCTGTTTAGATCATCTTAAAGGAGCTATATGTAAGTTCTGCTATTGCTACATAGCTAACATTAGCATTAACAGCTGTTTATTTACCAGTCTAGAAGAAACGTTGTGAATTCAGCATCAAACTTCTTTCCTTTATTCACCAACAGCTGTCTCCAACACCAATGTTAACTCTTGTCTCTATCCCATCTTTTCTTCTGCTGAAGTTAGCATGCTAACCAGCTAGCCCTGACCCGATTAGCCCGTCTTGTCACTTTCCGAGTCACTGGAATGTCCAGGCTGCCCTTAAGTAGTGCTGCTCCACAGATGTATTCTAACCTTACGTTGTAAACGCAATGATGGAAGCTCTTGGCAAGACTGGCAAGTAAACAGCTGTTAATGCTAACATCAGCTATGTAGCAATAGCAAAACTGAGGAATAGCTCCTTTAAACCAGCCTGGGTTTAAGTCTGAGACTGTGCTGATCTTCATCTTTCAGTTCTTGATAACCTGAACGTTTTTTGTTTTTTTTTACCTTGGGCAGTTTACAGCTGACCTTTGTACCATTTAAAGTTATTTACTGGACCTGAACTGCTCAATTTTCAATAGAAACTGGAAGAAGCGGGTGTTCTAAAACTTCTGAGTGGTAGTGTAGAAAAATGAGACAGACCATGAGAGATGAATGCAAACATCAGTCCAGTTCTGAGAGGGAGAGTGATGGAGAGAAAGGGGGGGATTACTCAGAGAAGGGTGGGAACATGCCAAGGTCAGCGAAGTCCTCAATGTTGTAGTTGGCTGTTCCCTGGGTGGGATCTCCAGCCATGGGTAACATGTCCTGCAGAGACACAGGGAGGGGGGGGGGGCTCAGAGGTGAGGGGTGTTCTGAGGACACGCAGCTCTTATCAGACATATCACATATCTGTGTACACTGGCAGCCAGCAGCTGGACACGCTGCTGTGACACACTACAGAGTGAGTGTGTGTGTGTGTGTGTGTGTGTGTGTGTGTTACCTGGAAGACTTCTGTCTGGCTGGGGTTGGGGTGTGTGTGCTGTTCCCCGGCCTGCTGCGAGTGATGTTGGTTCTGCCACTGGGACCAGACCTCACTGGGGCGACCCTGGAACTGGGCTCCACTCTGACTGCTTTCCCCTGACACATCTGGAAACACACACACAGGATAACTTTCTTACATAAGGTGGACGATATAACGAATGTACTCAATGTATCGCAGCTTCTGACAACACGCTGCCACGCCCAGTGTTTTTGTATCTGGAGTGGAGGGAACCACAGAGAGACTTCACATGTATTCAGAAACAGAAACTGAAGATGGAGGCAGATGAATTGGTTCAGAAAAGAAACAGCACTGGGATAAATGTCTTTTTCAGTGAATCTTGTTGCTTGAGTTTGAAAGAAGAAGGAGGTTTGAATGCAGACAAATGTCAGAGGGACTACAATCATCATCATACTGATTTTATGCGCCAAAGGGTTAAATTGTGTATTTATGAGCTTTAGAGGATATTTCAAAATATATATCTATATATAGATATAGAGACATATATCTATATAATATAGCCTAAAAATATGATGATATTATTTATGAGCCCTACATATGGTGCAGTTGAAAAAATATTACATTTTTTGTTTCATTAGGTATTAACATCATCATTAAGCAACATCTTCACATTTAACTCTAATATTCAGTGTTAGAGAAACATTATTATCATGAGCAGTATTCCCTTAGCTGCAGTAGTGCACAGATAAGGAAAGCAGCTCACTAACATTATTTTCAAAAAGAAATTTTCACACTGTTTTATTGATGATGTCTAATTAATCTTGTCTGTCGATTGGTAATTACATTCTGCGTTGCTTTATCCTCCTGTCTTCAAGTCTTTTCTTTCCTCTTCCAGTGTGTGGCCACTGTCAGCTGTTTGATGCTGCATCGCTCTCTGTCTTTAAAATCCTTAATCAAGGAGGAGGATCACTGGATGTACTGTTTCACTATTTCCTGGTTTGTTTCCTCTTTTTCAAAACAAAACATTAAATTAAACTAAAGTATTCAAATAATCTTAATTAGTGCCAAATGATTAGTTGATTAAACAATTCAGTTTAATTTAATAACCAATTTAAGTCAATTATAAAGCATCAATGCCAAACATTCATTTGCTTGTGATGTTATTTATTTTAATGGATGGCTGCTCAGACAAAACTAATTATTAATGGAAGTTCCTACATTTTCCATTTTGCACTATTTTCTACAAACTAAATGATTACACGAGTGAGTGAAAAAAAAATTATGACAAATGAATCAATATTGAAAATTGAAGAGGGCTTTTAATTTGAAACAGTTAGTGTTGAGTTTGTATTAACTTTAATAGGACAAATGGAGCCAATCAAACTAAAATACCACTATTGTACCAAACAGAGGGAATCAGAAATAAAGGCCTGTTGCCTTCTGTAGTCGAGGTAAGTAAAAGCCCCAGTCACTATATAAATACAGCGGTTGAAAACTGTTGTGGATCTGCTATAAACTCCCCCTGATGACGTTATAGAAATTGTTCATCATTGTCAAAGAACAGTCAGCCACGGACATGCATGGTTGTAGCCCCTGGCTGGTCCAACCAAAAACAGGGAAACTAGAAATAAAGGCCTCTATTAAATAAGTGCATTATTCTCTCCACATCAACACAACCTGATAATAGCAGCAGTAGGAGCTTCGTGACTCTCTTCTTGTTAACTCTCTCTTGCTTATACAGCAGCTACACACTTCACTGTCTACATGAGATATGAATACACAGATGTGCACACACGTATACACACCCTCTCCCTGTGAGGCTCTTTTATATCCCACTGAGAACATTAAAGCGAAGCAGATTGATAAGTTGTCTGCCTCCTCTGCAGATAATAAACAAAATGCTCTTCTCCATGCAAGAGGCTGAGCCGCTCGCTGATGAAGAGAGGAAAGACCAGAGGAAGGATGAAAAAAAATTAACCAAACACAGAGGAGGAGAGTTGTGCATACATGCATTGGCAAGCAGAGAGGATACGGGAAAACAACTGCTTATTATAAATGAATACAGCAAACAGCAAATGAATGGCACTGGCTGCAACTGACTTCATTCTTCAAATGGTCTGACGGGTGGAAGAGAGCAACGAGAGAGTAAAAATATATGACACATAAAAGTCAAAAAATCACGGCGGAACAAAAGAGAGGAAATAAAGAACAAATACATAAACCAGTAGATAGAGAGAGAGAGCGATAATCCATCTGGCTAATGTGTGTTTCCATTAAAAGGCCATCAACTAGTTGTATAGTGGACATGCTTTATTTATTAAGTGGACAACAAACAGTGAGAGTCCCGGGCAGCTGGTTGATGAGCCGTCACTGACTGAAAAACACTGAAGCCTCCTCAACCTTTTGTGTTCTGTGGCTCCAGGAAGAGAAACGTTGGTCCAACACTCTGGTTCAGAGTGAAACGCCTCGACTAGCATAGCACCTTCATTTTCAGTGATAACTGCAGAAATTATTTTCATTGTTGATTCTCAACTAATCAACTACTTTGGCGTAAAAAAGAAGAACGATGTTTGTTTTGTCAGACCATTTCAGAACCCACAGATATTTACTAGAAGACAAAGCTGGGATCAGTAAATTTTTGGCATCATCAAAGTTACAAATTTTTTGTTGATTGCAGAATCGATTTAACGACAAGTTGTTTAAGCTCTAGTCTCCACAACTGTTTATTGATCGCCATGAAACTGGTTCAAATTTAGGTGGGCCTGATTATAAAACAAATGAACCTGATTCATTTAGACTTTTACTTTTGCATAATGTGCACAGTGTCTACATCGTGAAACAAATAGTTATTTTAAATCAAAAAGTAACACAGATGACAGTTGGCTACATATCTACACATCTGTCTTGGGTCACAACTGTAACTTGAATAGTTTGACTGCCATGATGATCCCTGGTGTCCAGCTGACTCTGGCTTTCTTCTTGCAAAACAATCACATCTATGAGAGGGACACACTGAAGAAAGACTCACTGATCTATGCCATATTGGTTTGCTATTTGCTGTTTCACTATCCAAACTGGGGCAGCATGGTGGTGCAGTGGTTAGCACTGTTGCCTAACAACAGGAAGGTTCTGGGTTTGACCCTGCCATGTTCTGTGTGGAGTTTACATGTGGGTGGGGGTTTTGTCGGGGTACGATTTCCTCCAACAGGCCAAAGACAAGCATGTTTAGATTAACTGGTGACTGATTTGCTTGTACGTGTGAATTTAACCATGGACGGTTGTTTGTCTCTATATCTCCCCCTGGTGACAGACCTGTTGATCTGCCCAGTGTCAGCTAGGATTGGCTCCAGCATCCGACGAGAGAAAAATATAAAACTGAGCACTTTATTAGAAACACCCAACTAACACTCGGTAGCTCCTGCCTTTACTTTCAGCCTCAGTTCTTCATGGATGCACCAGAACTTTCTTCTGAGACTCTGCTCCACCTTCACATGATGCATCACATCATTTCTGCAGATTTGTCAGCTGCACATTCATACTGCCAACCTCCTGTTCTACCACATCACAAAGGTGTTCTACTGGATTCAGTAGACTGGGGGGGGGCTGGAGGAAGGAGCCATTAGAAGATGGTGAACTGTGGCCAAACTGGGCCAAGACCATGACCGTGATTGACTGTCACAAGAAAACATTCCCCACACCATCACACCACCACCTGAGAGAGGTGAGAGGGGGATGGTAGCGGTTTTGACCAGCTGGGCCGAGGCTTCCTCAGGGAGAGCTGCGTAGCAGTTCGAGAGTTCTGAACAAGGTTGGGATGTTGCTGCACCAGGACGGTTCCGGTTGCTATGGACTACTTCAGACCGAGGTAGTTTCATCTGAAGGCTGGGCACACCACCACCACCAGCCTGGACTGTTGACACAAGGCAGTTTGGATCCATGGATTCAGACGCTGACTCTACCATCTGCTGCCTCAGCACAAATCCAGATTCATCAGACCAGGTCTTCAGCTGTCCAGTATTGGTGAGTCTGTGTCCACTGCAGCCTCGGGTTTCTGTTCTTGGTGACAGGAAGTGGAACCTGGCCCTGGCCCTTCTCATCTGACCACCAGTGAATAAAAACTCTAGAGACTGTTGTGTGTGAAAATCCAGGAGATCAGCAGTTTGAGAAACACTGAAACCAACGTCTGACACCAACAATCATGTCACAGTCAAAGTCAATGAGATCACATTTTTTCCATCATTCTAATGTTTGATGTGACAGTAACTGAAGCTCCTGACCTGCATCTGCAGGATTTTATACATTGCACAATTGCCACATGATTGGCTGAATGCACACAATGTTGCAACAAGGGGGCAAGAAACAACAAGAGGGCAAGAAACTAAAACCTTCAAGCTAGATGTACGACAAGGAACTGGGACTTCTTCTGAATGCTGCGTACAGGTGAGAGTCACGTTGTGCTGTTCTGTGCTGACTCTTATTTGTATTCAGAGCTGGTAAAGAACAATACAACATTAGGCGAGATAACTAAATCAAAGCTAAACCTATCTGATGTATGTGTTATACGGTCCGCACACATAAACGTTATCAGTGGCATCCAGCAGTATCGGCACTGCATCTCCAGCTCCTGTACAGTGGGACAGTGGATGATGAAGAACCAATTCTCTTTCCAACCCCCAGGAGTAAAACAACAAAGCTAACAGGTACATGAGACAATTTCTAATGAGCTAAATAGTCAAGTAATTGATAAATGACCTTAATTATTCATGTATATGATTCAAAACAAAATACAGAAAATGTGGGAATGAATCATTGTGTTGTGTAGGTCTCGTTTTATCTTGTGTGTTATTTGTAATAGAACAAATGTAGAACACTTTTTAAAAGAACTCAGGAGAATGTGGGTGATGTTTCTGAAGCAGAATGTAGAGCCGATTATACAGAATAAATTCATCTTTGTGACTGTGTTAAGCTTTTTTACTCTTAATTTCCTTGAATAACATGACAAACAGAAGTGGCAGGGTCATATTCAACTATAGCACACCAATAAGGACACAACTCTCAGATCAACTATGCATCAATTAAAACGGAAGCAGGTGCAGCTAACGGAGCCACTCTGGTCACAGGGCCTTTGTTTCAGCCACAGTTGTAGCTTAGACACCAGACTCATGTTTGTTGTGGCGCACACCGCAGCTCTATACTCAGCCTCATTAGAGTAACAGGTTCTCCCTCTTGCCTGCAGGAGAACAACATGGCGGAGAGATTGTTTTGGTTCCTGAGTTTGAAAAAAGAGCAGCAGAAGATATCCTGACTTTTAGTCCCTAGTATGAGTCACACTCCAGCCTGCATCTTTTCATTAGACCCACCTTGCCTGGTAAATGACTTCAGTTTGTAACTAAACTCTCCATAATCTCATAAATAATGTGATATAACTGAATGTTCTAGCAGGAGTTGTATTTAATCTAGAAGTCATAAATATATATATAAAATATATTACAGTATATATACACACAGCAATCTGTGCAGCCCACACTGTTTATTTATTTTAGTCATTACAGGTAAATCAAACAACCTCCTGCAACACATCTTGAATTTCAGTACACTTCTAATATCCCTCTATTAGAATGATGCATTCATGCACTGTTAGGATTGGAAAAAATAAATTCCCTAATCAGACGTCAGTTTGTGAATGCAACACTGACCTGCAGCTGACTTTCAGCTTTCTTTCAGATGTCAGGTTTTTCCTTAAGGACATGAACCCCTGCTGACATGCATCCAGCTTGAAGCTGACCACAACAAACACATCCTCAAACCACTGTCAAACACTGCTATTGAATTTCAAAGCAGGCAGACAATCAGACACAACTTCATTTGTGTCAGTCTGTCAGTGGAGCACTTATCAGATGCAAACTTCCTGAGTTATTCATGGCTCTCATAAAAAGGCTGGTGTGTGTGGATAAGCTGTTAACGCAGTGTGAGGTGAGAAACAAGCTCCGAAGGCCATACAGAATAATTTATACTAATGGTGGATGGAACAGTTAATGAGTGACTCCGACTCCATCTGCTTTTCTTCTCCTCCCATGTAATTACCTCTGTGCCCAGACAAAAATAAGCCAGTAAGACTTGAAAGCAAGGAAATAGCTTTCTTAATTGAATTGAATACATGGCGACTGTGACCTGGTCTCAGTTAAAAGTCTGAAGATAGCGACAATCTTTTCTTTCTTCTCCCTTCGGGAAGATTGTGAGGAGTATTCATTATGTGATTCATTTTCTATACATACAAAATGAGTCATTTTACTGTCATGCTGAAACGACTGATGCTAAGGTTCGGCAGCACACAAAGGTGTTGATGCAGGGGATTTAATCACTTCTGGAATATCTTTGGCATCTGAAACAGAAACCAACGTACCTGCCGACACTGATTTCATGAGAACCCACCTGAGCTCTGCTTCATATGTAACTTACTGAAGGAGCATTAAGCCGCCTTCGTATGGAGATGTGGAAGCATTTCTGACAACTTGTGATATACACCGACATTTTTAAAATGGTGAAGCTGATTTGTAGTTTGCTCTGCCCTCCACGTCATGTCACATGAGAGGTCAAGGAAATGGTCAAGCTACAACACAGATGTCAGTCTTCATTCACAGTTGCACAACGTCTCAGGCTGTTACTGCGATGTGCCGCCACAAGAAAAATGTAATATTCCACATGGTGTGTAAAATATACTTTCTTGCACAAGTTCTATAGACTAATCCAGGTGGAAGGAGATAAACCACCGTTACTGTGGTGACATCTCACTTGTAAATCTGCGCAATAACACTGCAGTGTGTGTGTCTCCCCCTCCTTTGTGATTGTCTGCCCCACCCCAATGTGTTTCATCTGTGTTCAATCAGCCTTGTGTGTATTTAGTCTCTGTGCTCCCTGTTTTCAGTGTCAGTTCGTCTGTTTTACTCAGTTTGGATTGTTGTTTGTCTCTTGCACTATTACTACTTTTGAGTGTTTTCTTTGTTTAATAAATCACCTTTTTTCCACCTACTCCTTTGGATTGTCTGCATTTGAGTCATTAACACTATAGAACCTGAAATTAAAACTTTATAAATTAATTAATAAACAAATAATATGCCCTGACAAACAAACACAAGAGACTAGTGAGTTTATAACAAAATAACTGAGAGGCTGGCTTCCTTCATCACTTGTGAGAATATGACCTGTTGAGAAGAAGCACTGCAGCACTGCAACATGTTTTCTTGCTTTAGTGGTTTCACCGTGCACCGGCTTCTACAACAATCTTCAACCCTGTCTTGAAACAAGTTCATCTCTTTATGTTTTGCTTCCTCGGCTTCGTGTTATGCTTCCAACAGCTTTTCAATTTTAACTCACAATTTCAAGAACTGAAATCTGTGAAAGGCTGCTGCATCTGCACACACTGCCATGGTGAACACACACATTATTAATACAGTGATATTGATTTTTAAGTTATTGCCCGACCTCATAAGATCTTCTACAGCACAGATGCTCTGCTGTAGGTTCTGTATGATTCTATTCCTCTGTTACTATGTTCATAAGATTGTGTTTGCAGACAGAGAAACACAAACACACAATTCAACGTCCTACACCCAATATACCACACAGGTGGGACCACATCATGGATCAACCAGGAATAAATCAGGATAAAAGACAAAGACTCACCAAAAGCTGTGCTGCGGTTTGTCAGTCCTGAGTAGGCGTTGCCGCTGGGGGAGGAAGTGGCTGGTGATGACAGGGGACTGTAGGAGGCTGGGTCCGTCTGGTAGCTGTGGCCAGAACCAATACCAAATGGACTGGACTGGGCTTTACTGGACTGGAGAGCACAGATACCGGTTAAATATACAGCATATCAGGGCTGTGATTATAGAGACAGCTCAAAGGTCAGTGTAATACAAGATACAGGGTCCACAGGTCAGTGTCTTCTTGTTATTTCTAGCCAAGTTTCCAAACAAACCAAAGCATGATTACTTGTTTATGCCTTCCTTAGATATGAAGTGATTCCATTTTCAAGTGTGAACATTCTTTGTAATTAATGTAAACAAGTTAATATCCGCTTGTGTGGGTTCTCTCCGGGTACTCCGGCTTCCTCCCACAGTCCAAAGACATGCAAATGGGGACTAGGCTGATTGGTTACTCCAAATTGACCATAGGTATGAATGTGAGAGTGAATGGTTGTTTGTCTCTGTGTGCCCTGCGATGGACTGGCGACCTGTCCAGGGTGTACCCCGCCTCTCGCCCGAAAGGATGCTGGGATAGGCTCCAGCCCCCCCGCGACCCTACTAGAGGATAAGCGGTAGAAAATGAATGAATGAAGTTAATATCCAATTTTTATACCCATCAACCGAAGTGAGTTAGCAACAGTAACTAATCCAGCGGGCTCATGTGTGGGTTTACTGTTGGTTAGAAACAAGCATATGAAGTGATTAATGTAAAACTAACAGTTATTGGACAGCTTCAGGAGGCACGTGATTGCTTACCCTTACCTCATTTCCTGACTCTCTACAACAAAGGTGTGGCAAAGTCAGTGTGACCCACAAGCTGTTCGTGTGCTGTTCACACACTGTTTTTTTAAGGTATTTTTTGGGAAGTTTTTGCCTTTAATTTGATGGGACAGTGAGAGAGTGACCGGAAAACTGGGGGAGAGAGAGGGGATGACATGCAGCACAGGGCCCAGGCAGGATTTGAACCTCGGCTTCTGTGGTTAGGACAGAGCCTAAGTGGTATGTGCTCTTCCAGGGGAGACAATGGGGGGGGGGCCTAAAACTGAAAAAATGTTTGCGTTAAAAAACAAAAGGGGCTGTTTCAGGCCAAAACAGAACAGAACAGTCTGGACTGAGACTGTCTTGACTGCAGGGATGATGATGCCAGACCACATTCCTTGGAGGAACCCAGTAATTTACACCAGAATTAACAAAATTTTGAGGGTTTCAATGGTTAATGTGCAGGCAGGGTTGTTGTTATTCAAGAGATCATTTTCCAGTGACCTACAGACTGATGTGTCTTTACTCCTGTAATTCAAACACCATGTCAGACCAAAACACAGAATGGGGGCTTGTTCTGGTTCCAAAACAACCCGACGAATTCGTGGCAGTCAGAATTCTTCCAGGGCCACTCATTGTTTTTGAGAGTAGTTTGAACAAAAGGGCTTTTCCAATATTAAGCAACTGCACTGAAGAATAACAGGTTATCCAGGTTTTCCAGGTCACGTGGAAACCATGTAGATGTTTGAAATGATGAGAGCATTCAACCTTCTTTTCCCCTCATATCATCTGGCTCCAGTTATTTGTGATGCATTTAGAGTGAGTCCATTGGAATGACCTGACTAGTGTGTGTGTGTGTGTGTGTGTGTGTGTGTGTGTGTGTGTGTGGAAGACAGATGAGCCTGTTAAGAAACATATCCTGAGCACATTCCCTCAGCAAAATTGTAAAACAGACACAAACACATATACACACACACACACACACACACACACACACAAAATATGGCAATAAGACAAGTCCATCTGTTAACCGGCACCAGGGATGGGAGTGTAGGGCAAAGGAGGAGCAGAGAAAATGAGTTTTGCAATCATGGCAAACATGGAGATTGGTGACTTTATCATTGAAACAAGGTTTCACTTCAGCAATAAATGCTGTTTGTGCAAATATTTGTGTGTGCATGTATGTGTGCATGCGTGCGTGTGTGCGTGTGTGTATGTGTGTGTGTGTGTGTGTGTGTGTATGTGTGTGTGTGTGTGTGTGTGTGTGTGTGTGCGTGTATGTGTGTGTGTGTGTGTGTGTGTGTGTGTGTGTGCGTGTGTGTGTTACCTGTCCAGAGAAAGGGGGTCGGTTGCCTGACCATGCCACCTGGCCTGGGTTGAGCTGTCTGGAAATCTGAGCTAGATTCTGATTAGACGAGCCTGATGGCTGAATGTCATTCACACCAGGGACGTGGATCACAGAAGAACTGCGTGCACAAACAAACACACACACACACACACACACACACACACACACACACACACACACACACACACACACACACACACACACACACACAAAAACAAACAAAGAAAAACAAATGGTGAAGTTTGAAGTTCAGTCAGGCAACACTTCTCTCCAGAGAGACACACAGCTATCACTGTCACTAATGTCGACCCAATGAGCCATGGATGAAGTCTGCCGAGCACCACGTGCACTAACACACGTCACTGGCACACACCTGAAGCTTTTGCCAGAGTGTCCCTGCTGGAAAGGAGAGCTCTGGGAGTAGAGCTGCTGTCCGCCAGCCGTAGAGGAGGGAACCATCATCTTCTTATCTCCCGCTAGACACACACACACACACACACACCAGGGTCAACATTATAGAAATAACAGAGAAGAGATATCACAGGTAATGAAAAGAAATACAAAGCTAAACCTGCAACTATCAGGACGTGTGTATCAGGTGTATATTGATACGTGCTTGTGTGTGTGTGCGTGTGTGTGTGTGTGCGTGTCGTACAGCCAGAGATGCCGGTGTACATCTCAGCAAAGCGCGGGTCTCTCTCCTGAGAGAACAGGGCTTCTGTCTTGTCGATGTTCTTCCCTGCCTCATGGACTCCACTGCTGACACTGGCCACAGGCACCTGAGGGAGGAGGGAGGGGCAGGAGGGAGGAGGCATCAGAGTTGTTCGGTATGATTTGAACCCACACGAATACATAGACACAAGTACAGTAGATATCTCACAAGCTGGGATTCCATCCAATTCTTCGTGTATTGCATTCCATGAAATGCTGCCATACATTAACACATAGTAATTTAATATATAACAAAAAGCTTTTTTGTGAACAGGAGGCCCATCACTGTCTTCACATGAAGGTGTAAAGTGCATTGCTTTCAGAGTTAGATGTTTTAGTCATTATATTCACTTATTTCAACTAAACTTCCTTAGAATCTGGAGGCATCTTCCACCAGCTGAGTGGGGGTGAGGTAGTTCCGAGGCAGAGGGGTTACCTGGGAAAGGTCGTAGGCAGTCAGTCCATCTCTCTGGTGAACCTCCAACTCTGCCTGCTGCTGCTGCTGTAGTTGCCTGCGACAACACAACACACCGTGTTCAGCGTCAGCATCTCAGACTCCAAACTGACACATACTCTACATTACTGAATTACAGCTACCTTCATTTTATATTCAATAAAATGTTTCAATGAGTAACTTAAAAATTATGTTAAATGTAAGTGGCATGATTCCTGTAGATGATAAGTGGTTCTCTCAGACCTGACACCACAATAAACTCAAGGAACAGAAAAGCATGTAGATTAAAATCCCACATTCAAACTGGGCAGAGAAATTGCTGGGAACCTGAGCCAGGAGAGCTGGCTGGTAGAAATATCAACCCAGTCTGTGTGGCAGCATGTTGCGGGCAGGAGCAGAGTATGACCTGGAGAAGTAGCATAGACCTTTACACTTTATGGGCAATATGGTGATAATTTTTTGAGTGATAATTTTCCCTCCAAGTCAAGTTGTCATCAGGTCAAAACTTCCTCAAACAGGTTACCTTCTGAGGGGCCTGGTCACAACACTGTTTACGGCCATCTGTGTAGACCATCACCTGTCTGAAGGAACCTGTCACTATTAGTGGATTTGTGATTTTATCTGCTCAGAACTTCTGTGTCAAGTTTAACTTCACTCATGTGTGACATATATGAGTGTCAAGTGAAGTTATAATAGCAAATAATAGCAAGTTTTAGTTTACTCTAAAGTGGTGAGAGGGCTGTCACAGTGAGCTCCACAAAGATAAAGCCTTTCTTTTTAGCCCAAGCTGTCAATTGCTCTCTGACATTACAGTCTATGGACAGGATAGAATGTGTTCTCTACAATAATTTGTGGCTTCATCAATAGCTTGTATTGGACTGCCATATAATCCTAGTAGCTGAGCTTTACAATGTGCATCATCCATAACTGCATCACATCTGTTTGTTAGTCTATCCATTCATTTTCTGCCACTTGTCTGAGTCTGGGCAGTAGGAGCAGGAGGATCGATACTGTAAAGCAGGGGTGAGCACGAAAGTTCGGACTATGAACAAATTTTTTCTAATCCATTAGATAGCGGGCCAGAAAGTAATCAAAGGCTAATGTAAGAATTTGATAAAAAAAAAAATGGCATTGCGCTGTGGCCCACAGACACATATCATAGGTTTGACTGACTGACTGAACTGGTGTTATTTTTTTCATATCACACATCGTATGTCCACTACTTCAGAGGTCTGTCAAGCAAGTAACAGAACCTTTGGGACATTCTGCTGAAACTTTTCAGAATTAAAGCACACAGTAGCTTGAAATAAAGCATTGCTGCTGCTGCTGCTGCTGCTTCTGTAAATAAAGAGCTTTCTTGTGATTTTATTTCGTAAGCAAAAATGGCTACGAGGAAGTGAGTCTGTGGGTAACTGTCATGACAGAGATCTATTTTAGCACCAAGCACCACAGCACTTGATAGTTACACTAGTTTACCTTTTCATAAATGTCAGTCATAATTCTCAGTGGATTGTGGATGAATTTAGTCCATAAATCTGTTTCTTCCAAGAACATGTAACATTTATTTCATTACTGACAGACACATAACTTGAAGGATGTTGTATCAATAGTAAAATAGCAAGCTAAATCAATTTGTGAACAGCAGAAGAGACTGTTCACCACTCAGGAGGCAGGTGGCTGAATAAGACTCTGTATTAAAACAGTGGTTCTCAAACTTTCTCACACCCTCTGATAAGCAGTGTTTGAAACCCATGATCAGTATAACTATACATTCTGTCATTGTGTTACTTTAATGGGGGGTTCCCAGACCCCACTTTGAGAATCACTGCATTAACACAAGTCAATTTGTCCATCTTTCACATTATTTAGTTTTGTCATAGTTGTCATTTTCAAAGGTTAGTATTTATTTTAGTTTTAGTCTCATCATCAAAATCAGCCCTGATCTGACAATGGGAACCTCCCGCCAGCAACAATTTCAACAAACAGTTGTGAACCTTTCTGATGCATAAACTCATCATTGCCACTGAGGTCTGAAAGATGACAACAAAAGCATCACGTGAGAAAGTTCAGGAACAATTTGCGATAATGTTTTTTAGATCTGACCACTTTATACTTTTTAAAACATGAGGCTACAAAGAGAATGAGAGTGTTGAAGCACAGCAGATAAAAGGCAGCTTCTGCTGTCGTCTCTCCCGCACAGGTGTAGTTATTCTGGCATGATGCTCTCGACAGAGAGTCAAAGGGCTTCCTGACTGAAATAAAACTCCTACATCTCATCAGAAGTAGATGAAGAGAGAGACAGGACATGATGGATGGAGGAGTGTATTTAATGAGTGACTGTATGCTGTGTAAAATGAGGTCGTCAGAAAGTCCATCTCTGAGGTGACAAACATGAGAAATGATAAACTAGACAGTGTGTTACTGAACAGCTGTTTGTGCTGCTCATAAATCTTTTGCCCTGGTAAAATGTTTACAAACCCAGGCAGATGTCATCAGGCTGAAGAATTAATTTGTGAGCACATATTTCTAATTCTAGAGCACAAATATGTTTTATTTTCCCCATAACACCTCCCGCCTCCCCTCTACCTCTGTACATGTTGAAATGCCGGCTTTAATAAATTGTTATTGTGTGGAGGCCATTCATATGCAGGGACCTCAGTAACAGTTTTATATATATAATTTCTGTGAAAAATAATAAATATTATAGTAGATATGAAACAGGTTTTACCTGAGCCTGAACCTTTTAATTGAGTACGGTATATGTGTTTTTAGTCAGCAGCTGTATTTGCAATTGAACAGAAAACACAATGTAGTAAACACAGACGCAAACTTCATCTAAGTTTGAGGAAAATATTCCAACAAGACTAGGTCTAAGCCTAGTATCTGTCTGGACCGCCTATGGTCAAATCCTGATTTTATAACTGTGACGTCGTCTGACAAAATCACCAAACACATGAATGAAAGACAAAGACTGAGCTGTGATTTCAGATGGATTTACTGTTACATGATCAGAGAGGAAGTTAGAAGAGACAGACTCTTTCTTCTTCAGTCTCTGACACAGAGCACAGCCACAACAGTTTAGTCTTTATTTACTTCAGCTCCAGAACGTAACAGAATTAGAGGCAGGTCTTTATGTCTGTGTCCTGTGTTATTCCTCCTCCGTTAATCAACAAACTCAGTATTAAATACGATGACAGTGGTGTAGCTCTGTGTGAACATTTGAGTTAATTATGTGTGTATTCACTCCAGAATCCTACCACAGCAGGATATCACAAGTTCAACTCACTCATCAGCTCACTCTCCACAGCCTCCTCACGTGTAACACAACAAACTAAGCTTCTGCGAAGGCATATGTTCTGGTCACAGAGGGCACAACAGGTCTGTCAATCACAGGTGTAGATGGCCTGTGGTCTGCTGCTGCACACAGATAAAATGCAGCACTGGACACATCAGCAGCATTATTTACCCATGATTCCAAGCTTTCAAATCAACACCTAGCAACTTGTCATTTCATTGATCAGACGGGCTGTTGCAGGGGGAAACTGTTACATTTGGCAACCAAATCATACCATTTCTACCTAAAACAACGGGGAAGAAGAAACTTTCTCTGAAGATACACTGATAAGCAGTTAAACAGGGATATGACTCAAATGAAGATATTATCAGAGCAGCAGGGACAAAAAATCCATTTCAAAGCAGTTGTGACATGCAGGAAGCTCCTCCTGGGCCTGGAGTGAATTCATTTGAATTTTAAATTAATTTAACAATCAAAATAAGCAAAACGCTGTTGATAAATGACAACATTTTAACTGAGAAGACCAGATGGAAGGTCTGAAAGATTTCAGGGTAATTTAGGATAATTCACAACAAGATATTATAACTGTATTTATTACAGCAAATGGGATGAAGCAAAACAAAAAGAAATGACAGAATTTGCCATTTATACAGTAATTTCTCTACCATGTTCCCAAAACTATTTGGTTTTTAAGCTGAGAAGAGTCATTTAAAATGATTGATCACATTTCCATAAACAACAACAAAAAAAACTGTGTTTGATTATCACCATAATCTTATAGACAGATGACTCAACAACAACTCAACAACATATAACTCCTGAACTCCTCTGAGTCAGATTATAATTACTAATACACATTATCTTTGTGGTAATTAAATGATAACACAATTCCAGGGACAAGCTCATCCCTCATCACCAATATCATTACTTCTTTGATTGTCATTGAGTGATGTGTTCACTGAGCTCATGGAATAACATCAGTGCTTCTGTTTTCACTTCCACACAAGTGCAGCTGAGTGAATGAATGAATGAATTCAGCATTAACCTTTATCATTGATGCATCTGCTCATCTCCCGGCATCAAACTGGAGAATAATCCAGACTGACAAAGATTTCCACCTGCTAAGAACTAATCAGTGGTCCATGCATGCTTTGTGAACCAGATGACTCAACAAACATGTGTAACCCAGCTCCTGTCCCACAGTGAGCAGACTGCATATAACCAGAGGACACTCACACCTCTGACATGAGCACTGTCCAAACATGCAGCACCTGAGTAAACACACAGATGTTCACTGTGCACACTGAGCTGTTCCTGCACAAATTCAACACACAGCTCATTAATGTGCACTTTCAACAGTAGAAGGCAATTACCTAGTGTGTTCCCACTTAAACAAAACATACATTACTTAACATGTACACGCATACAGACGCATACAAAGGGGCGACACACAGATATTAATCATGCAGAAGAAGACCTGCAGAAAGCCATCTGCTCCTGAACTTTGTCGTTTTCTGATAAACGAGATTCGGTTTTTTTTATAGCGACCTCATAAATCTAACACATATTCTGTTAATACTCTGCCTGAGGGAACCGTTGGCAGTGATTCATGCCTGTAACACACATACCCACACACGCATATATACACACACACACACGTGACTGAAAGCTATTAGCTGTGTGTTCATATTGGTAATTGGTTGGGCTCACAGCAGCCCTTAACTGACGCTGACAGCTGAGTGCACATGCAGGAGGAACGGCACATGAAGGGACCTACTTTCATGCCGGCTCACTGCAGCACATGAGTGAACTGGTATTTTCCTGTGAGGCACTGAGCTTATTTCCTCGACTGTACCAGTTTGGTAACTTGGTGAATCGCCATGTGCCTTGGTGAGTGAGGCACGATTTGCGTGGTCTGCCGCCCGCCTCAGAGCAGCTTTACTGATCAGTGCACTTTTGCTTGAGTATTTTGGTCATTTTATTGTGAAATCACAAATATAAACCTACTTTACTCGTGTTTTGCTCATCTTTCCACTTTTATTTTCTGATTTTTCAGCCAGCTGACACATGATCAAGCAGACAAGAGTTTTTTTTTTTTCTGTTTGACTGGCACTATTTCCAGCTACACAGAATAAAGAATAATGAGTAAAGAATAAAGAAAGAGAATTACTGCCTCGCGGTTGTACACCTCTGCCACTCAGACTAGTTTCAGATTACATCCCTGTTTATCCAGTCATATAAAATATTAAACATTTGTGTGAAATTTTATCATAATTGCTGTGTGTAGAGATGGCTAAATTGTTTTGTGTTCATCCGTGAGTCCAAGTTTGTGCCAAACTTGGAAGGAATTCCCTTGAGGAATTCTCGAGTGTTCACGAGGCCAAAATCATGTTTTGTGAGGTCATTGTGACCTTGACCTTTGACCCTTAGCCACCAAAATCTGATCAGTTCGTCCTTGAATCCTAGTGAATGTTTGTGCCAAATTTCAAGAAGTTCCTTCAAAGTTTTACTGAGATATCGTGTTCACAAGGCCAAAACTGGATTTTCAGGGGTCACTGCAACCTTGACCTTTGACCTTTGAACACCAAAATCTAATACGTTCATCGTTGACTCCTAATGAATATTTGTGCCAAATTTGAGAACATTGAGTCACTGTGTTCCTGAGATACTGTGTCCACAAGACTAGGAGGGACAACCTGAAAACAAATGCCTCTGGCTCTGACTGTCACCGGCACAGAGGCATAAAAACAGCCTCAAATGGATATATTCAAATTTGAATTCATTTATTTGACTGGATACTGATTTATTTTGGTGCATATTTGAGTGCTCATTTATTTATTTGATTGCCTGTTGAAATTTAGGGAACGGTATTTATTCGGGTTCTAACCCTGTAGGCTGCTTATCCCTCATCATAATACGTTTATCCTGTGTTCTTGAAGCATTGACATCGTCTGCTGCATTTATTTACACTTGTATTTCAGAGCTGAACTCCAACATCCAACAAGGTACAAGACTCACCAAGGACAAACAAGAGGCAGCTCAGCGGAGCAGAGCAGCTCACTGAGACTCTGCAGCTTTCATTCAGTGTGTTGTTAACAGCATGGAAATCAATAAAAAATAGATAAATATTATCCCTGGTGTCTTGAACTGTCTGAGGATAGACACAGTTTCTTTTCAGAGGTCTGGACAGTATCAGGATTATTCCTGACTCTGCTGGAAAGGCGAGGTCTATCACTGACAACTCAGGTCGAATCAGAGCAGTGGAAAACCTCATTTCCCACCAAAGGATACACTGAACCAGGGTTAAACTCAAACCATGCCATGTTATGAACAAATTATATGACAGTAATAACTGGTACTGTTCATTTCATGCTAGTGGTATTGCAAGTTCCCTTTTATACTATAACCTTCCTTCCTTACCCTCCTGCCTCTGCAGATCCATGTGACATTGAGATGGTGTATAAAGATGCTGCAGGCTTTATATGACAATGGTTTAAGTGACACAAAACACTGGTCAAATGCCTTGAGTTAATAACTTGAGGAGTCTATATATACTTCTATAATTTAGTCATGAAACAAAACCTTATAAACTGTTTGAGCTTAAGTAAACTGAACTAGATCGATGGTTGCTTCTTTGGAGTAATGTTTTAATTGCCGTTATCAAGCAATCTCAGTGATGTTTATTGAAATTTGGCTCTGGGTTTGGTTCATGTATTATCTGTGCAGTATTTTTATACACTGTGTGTCTGGTAAAGTGAAATGTTCCTTTTCCTTTGTGCCATAAAACAATCTAGTAGCAGTGATGACTTTATTTAAATGGAATACACTTATAAAGCCCTTTCCTAGTTTTATTGACCCCATTCACACAGCGCTTTCTTCTACACATACAGTGCTTCTACCACACACACTCTACCCCATGAGCCATGCACAAATTTGTCCCCAAAGGGCAACTGGTTGGCCTCTGTGGTTTGCTGTCTCGTCTTTCTATCTTCAATTTAGCCTCTTTTTAGGAGAAGATTAAAGGTTAGTAGAAACAGAGATTCAGTGTTTTCTTTTGTTTTTTGACCCTGACATTATGGTGAGAGTATTTCTACACTGCTGAGAATAATACTGAATTAAAATACACAGCCAGAAGCTGGTGAGAAACTCATACTTTGTGTTTTAGTTTCAGTGAAGGGAAACCATCATGCTAATGACATGAGCCAGACCTTATCACCTCCTCACTAATGCAAGTCACCTCACCAATGCTCTTATGGCTGCCATTTGGTGCAGGGTTGATGTGTGTGTGTGTGTGTGTGTATGTGTGTGAGAGAGAGTGTAGGTGTGTGTGAAGAACCTACTTGACGTTGGTGTTGGTGCAGATGATGTACTCTATCTCGTCAGAGTACGGGTTTTGGAAGGTGAAGCTGCTCGTTCGGATCAACATCCACTCCCTGTTCTTCATCCGGAAACGATACATCACTGACAGAACCTGACCCTTCAACTTCACCACCTGCAGAGGGAGGAAAATCACTCGTTAACATTATTAACTATCATGTCTTAATAACGCAGCTGAGACAAAAATCATCATCATAATACATTTTCTCTTAGATTTGTAGTTAACAGTCTCCACTGTGTTGATCTGAGAGTGGAACATTCAATTAGCCATGATGTTATCAAGTCTACATTAAACTATACAGCAGAGCATGACAGGACAGGAGGGGGAACCTATTTTACAACTTGTCAACAAAAGCACTTTCACTTGGGGGGGGGGGGGGGGTTTAAAGGGTTACATTTGACAAAAACTCCTGAACTGAATTGAGCTGTTACAGTTATGGCTGCTGGTAAATACTGTCCTCCTGATCTGCCCCCTCTGAGTCCATCTCTCCACTGACTGTCAGTCTGAAGTAATGGAAGCACTGCACTTCTTCCAAGTGTGAAATGGATCTAAAATTACTCTGAAATGAAGTGCTGAGGAAGGCCTGAGCAGCTGATCACAAATATGGGGGACTTCGGTCCACACAGAGGACAGAGATCACAGAGGGGGAGGGAAGAGAGGAGAGGGAAATGATTATCTGGTAACACAGCAATAAACAAAATGCTTAGAACGATGCTGCTGAGTTTCTTTGGCTAAATAACAGACAACCTGCATCGGCCCACACCCTATCCCTCCAATCCTGCTGACAAACAAACAGACTGGGGTGAAACATAACCTCCTCGGTGGAGGTAATAAACCAAATACCCATATATCTCTCTCTCCCCCTCCCATCCCCACCCCCTGTGGTAGGAATGCCTCTATAATTGAAACCTTTCAGTCCCACCTCAGAGACTATTTTTAATCTCTGTATTACTCTGCATGTCGCATTTCCACATTGATTTTTTCAAACAGAGCTGCACTTTGGTCAATTTGTGTTGCTTCATAAATAAAATGAATCAGAGGGTCATCTAACACTGAGAGTACATGTTTCAAATTTCATTTTTTGGTGGATCATAATCAGGAGCCTCCAGATGACAAGGAAACAAAAGAGAGGAAGTTGATCTGGCTGTAGAGAGTCTGTGAACTCTGATGTGGACAGATGTTAAACGGATTAGCCATGGATGACTGTGAGAGACAGATGCTGTTTTTTAATCACTTAATCAAGTTGTGAGTGTGACACAGTGTTCTGTGGCATGTCAGAGAACTGCACAATCAACTCTAATGGTGACTGTAGCTAAATACCTGCTGACACATGCAAACAGTATAATCTGTAACCCAAATCAATCACCCTGCCAGAACTCCAGTCGGTCAAACCAAACTCTAACATGCCGGACGATGCTGGTTTGCTAAGAGACTGAGGACCAAGATAACGGACAGTCACCTCCATGATGTACTTTGAATCTCCACTATAAGACTTGCATCTGACCTGAAGGCAATTCTTCAATCCAAGGCCCAGCATCACTGTTCCCATTAGAAGTGACATTTACTGCTGAGTGAAAATGAATAGTGCTTACAGCTTAAAACTTGCTCATTAAGATAGTCTCTTAAATTAAAAGGCTTAGGATCTTTTTTGTTACTGTGTAGAACTCTGTAACCCTGGTTTTGTTCATGTTTGTTTATCTAATTACAGGATTTAAAAGTAATTTGTACAGCAAGTAAATTAGTATGTCTTTTTTAAACTTTTTCTTCTTCCCATCTCTTAGATTTTAATCATTCTTTTTATCTGACTCAAAAAGAAAACTTCTATGTCTAATTCACCGCTGCAGTCTAGTCCTACCTGTTGGAAACCTTCTCTGAGGTGACTCTGGTCCTCAGGATGGCAGAACTCCAGAATATCTTTTCCCAGCAGGTCCTACGGGACAGGAGAAGAGTCGGTTAGTAAAGGGTTTGTTTAATCAAATAAATACACAAACAAAAAATAAACATATACACTCAAAGACACAACTGGAGCGACAAACTAACGTTGTTAACAGATGATGCTGCAGTGTTTTGTAGACTTTAGATCTGAATGTCATTTTGTGGTAAATTAACCACTATAAGTTCACACTCAGTATTTCTATATTTTCCTCTGAATTTGAAATGAAATGAATCGTTCATCAAGATATTAAATTCAAGTTAGCTGGGGTGAGAAAGTGACGAAGCGCCAACTGCGAAGCATTTCTCTAAAGGTGAAAGGTAATTGCAGATGTTATAATGCAGGTGAAGTTTAATTTGAAAAGTAAGATAGATGTTTTGCAGTAAAGAGAAAAAAAATGGTCTGCAGGGATTTAACGTATTTTTTAACAAGTATTTTTAGCTCCTGCTCCAAACAGGATGTATTAGTTATGAATGATAAAATAACAGATGTGTAACTCTTTGATTCAGTGATTTCTTCTGAGTGGTTTCTGGTTGAGTAATGCAGGGGGTTGTAAGCAAAGGCGCGTGCTGACTGGCCACAGGAATGTGTTTAACATACCAGTGTAGGAAACAAATGGTTTTCATCCTAGTCTGCTTATTTCCACTGTCAGCACAGTAACTCATGTGCAGAGCTGATAATGCAAAGTTCTGCTAAGTCACGGAATTTGTTTGTCATGCAGGAGTTCATCTGAGAGCATGGCGTGACTGGAGCCTCAGCTGGAGAGTTCGCTCATGGAACAGGCAGTGAGTTAATTTAAGGTTAGAGGTCAAAGTGATTGAAAACAAGTGTTTGTAATTCACACACAAAGCCTTTAAGAAGTGGTCGGACAGGTGATCATGACACTTTTCTTATATTTTTTAAAACCTTTGTCAATATATTTTGGAGCTGGTCTGATTCATCTCATCATGAGAGGATTGTAATTATATACTATGATTATCAAACTGTAAATTCTCCAAACATCCACTAACAATTTAATAACTGGTCACTAAAAAAAGACAGGTAAGAAACATTAAGGTGGAGTTGAATCACCATAGCTTACATCAACAGTGGAGGACATACTGTACCAATCAAGTACAGCAACGTAAAAATACTTCATTACAAGTAAAGGCCCTGCATGAAAAATCAGACTAAAGTTGAAGTAAATAAGTATTAGGGGCAAAACGTAGTTTAAGTTTTAAAAGCTGTGTTTCGAACTTTAAGTTCCAGGTACTTTTCTTCAGGAACTAAAAGGTTCCTGAGGCCCATTGTAAACGTTCTGGTTTGGTCCCTGAGACTGATACATCATTATATATGATATCATTAGATGAGTATCAGTGTGTCAGCAGCATGTTGCTGTTGTAGCTGCCGCATGAAAATTGATGTCAGGAGTTGGATAATAGGGGTTTTTGCCTTTCCTTACTAAAAGTTGTTCTCAGCAGCTTTGTGAAGAGGACTTAGGAGAAAACTTTTAGTTTGAAACTTTTAGTGTGACTTAGGAGAACTCTTAGTGGTGAGATAAGTCACTGCCAATGAAATGGTTCTCTTCCAGTGGTGTTTCACATTAAAAGTTCACCAGGAATAGGAGGCTTTTAATGTGAAAGATTTGTGCTGAAGGTGTTACACTGGTAATTGCAGCAATCCACAGAATGTTTCATATGAATGAAAACAGTACTTCTGTTAGTGAGAGCTGCAGAGAGGTGAGGATGGCATGACTCTGTTGTACTGATGGAAATTTACATTATACTGGATTTATCAAGACAACAGGTAAACATGGATGATTTGTTGAAAACAGAGGACTATTTCTGAGATATGATACTTGTAAAAACTGAATATACTGTATAATCTTCTCTAATATGAGCCTGTGTCTCTCTGCAGTTGAAGTAAAAGCTGACAAAAGATCAATGTTCTGTGAATATGAATATGTTGCAGGAACAAAAAGAATTTCATCTGCATGAAACTTCAAGCAGGATGGCAACACTCCTATCTGCATTATGAATTTTCATGGCAGTACAAAGTCCTTTTAATCCTCTTAGCTAACCTGAGGCTGATAACCAATGACGTTGATACAGCGCGGGTCGACAAAAGTGATGACACCATCCGAGTTGTGACGTGACAGGAACTCTGTCGGCACCGACAGGCCGTTCATATCCATGGAAACCGGAGAGCTAGTGACCTGGGGGAGGCACAGACACGTCATTCAGGCATATAGAGAAAATGTTTAAGAAGGGAAATGAAGAGTTGGAGCACGGACACAACTACATCAGTGTTTTACACACTATGTTACTGTTAACACTGTTTACTGCTGGCATCACACTCAGTCCAAGACTCTATATGAGAACAGACTGAAACTGTTCTGACTGACTGGCAACAATGGCACAGTGCCAGCTCACAGAGACTGACTGTGGCAGACTGAGACTAAGAACAAAACATGTAGCAACCGCAGCGTCCATGATCATTAATCTTTGCTCAGTTCATATATAGTGTTTATCCATCAAAATGAAGAAAAGAAAATCAGAGAAAACGTATTAATATTGACTTTTCTGCACTGACCCAATATACTTATACATACACACACACACACACACACAAATGCTTTGAGTTTGACTGTGCCACGATACACACCTGCAGTCTTCCAATGGCCACTAGGCAGTATTTTCCAGTCTGACCTGCCTCTGTGTCTTCTTCTGGTATAGTCATACCTGAGGAAAAGAGACAGCCACAAAACACCTGAGATAAAATCATGTTGAATCAGAGAGAACACAAGATACTAAGATAATAACAATAATACACAGATAATAAGACAAATAAGAAAAACAACATCATGATCAGAGACTAAGAGAAATCTGATCTGAGAGAAATGGAACACAAGTGGAAAGATCATTTCGAAAAACTATTTGAGCAAATTTCACCTTACAACCTCAAACATGAGCAGAAACTAATTCAAGGAAAACTGACCATCTGTGAACCTACAATCAAAAATAATCAGAACCCCCTTGATTAGCTAATTACAATGGAAGAATAAAACCATCTTAAGCTAGAATTACCATCTCGCAGTTATAAGTCTGCGCCAACCAGTCAACTTGCAGTGTCACAATATCCCCCTACAGTGTTGAATAATGGCCAGAAGTCTTTGTGCAGAACATTATGATGTCATTGTGAAGTTGACCTTTGACCTTTTGGATATAAAATGTCATCATTTCATCATTTTATCCTGTTAGACATGTGTGCTAAATTGTGTCATAATTAGCATATGAATTCATGCTAAAAATGTGTTTTGTGAGGTCACAGTGACCTTGACCTTTGACCTCTGACCAATAGATTCTAATGAGTTCATTCTTGAGGTGAAGTAGACGTCTGTGCCAAATTTGCAGAAATTCCCTCCAGGTATTTTTCAGTCAGGTCGCTTTCCTGAGATCTGGAGCAGAGGGATTATTTCCCCAATACATAAGAGTGGAGATAAATTAGACCCTAACAATTACCGAGGTGATGTGTGAGCAGTAATCTGGGGACTTCCTTAGAGAACACAATGCCCAGAGTAAAGGACAAATTGGCTTTTTAGCGAATCACCACACTGCTGACCATGTTAACATTCTACACACTCTAATTCATTATCACACACACCAAACAAACAAGGCTGTTAATTCTATTTGTCACGAGGGATTATATTATAAAATTCCCCAAATCGCTGTCAGGGATAAACTTTATGACGTAATTAAGTCAAAATATGTCAGTCACAAAATTACAGATCCACGCTAAGACTGAGTCAATTATTATAAAAGCAGCTGACAAAGGAGGAGGAGCACTGATGGTAATGGATGAGGACAAATATGTTGAAGAAGCTCTACGGAAATTGTGTAGCACAGAATATTATCATAAGCTATCCTCTAATCCATGAGACAAGACACAGTAATGTTGCCCACAGCCAGGGGGGCAGGGGGGCAGGGGGGGATCACTGAACAAGAACATGACTTCCTGTGGTGTGCACATCCTGGGACACCCATCTTTTACATGCTCTCAGTATTGACTTTCATATTAAACCTCTGGCCCAACAACTGCCTTCATACATCCAGTCTTAACACATTAACAGTGACCATGATGACAGATTGAAGCATTGCAATCCTTCTTAAGGAACAGACACACAGACTCTCTGACTCCGTCTGACTTCATTCCTCAGTTCACAGAATGGAAAGATAATGAGTTTAGTTTCCAAGACCAAGTGTGTGTTCAGGATCTGGGTACTGTAATGGGGGCGTGTTTTGCTCATAATTCCAGTAACTTTTTCTGAGGCTTATGAGAAAAGGATTCAATTTATCATAACAACTACAGTGATAAGATAAAATGCTGGGGGTAGTACACACAGCATCTCATTGTTTAGGACTGGTTCTGAGGAGGAACTGTTACTGTTTCATTATTTTGACATTTATTAACTGCAACACCTCTGTTTATCTTGCACTTGTTGTTGCTTTATAAAGGCCAGACTAAGAGACAACTGAAACACAGAGTCTCTGAGCATTAATATGCCATCAGAAAAGCTCATTTGGATTACCGTATGGCTAAACACTTTCATAGTGTAAGTAATAGTAATCCAGACAGCCTTACAGTTGAAGGCCTAGAAAACATCTAAACGAACATTTGGGGTGGTGATTGATTAAAGTTATTATAACAGAGAGAACTCTTGTTTACACATCACATGCAGGCCACAGTATACCCAGGACTTGGAGAAATAGATTTCAGCCCTTTTTTGTAATGAGGTCCGGTGTCTATGGTTTGTAGATGAGTATAAATTGTTATTGTTTTCTGTCCTATTGTTTGTGTCCATTTTTTTTAGTTCTATACATGTTTGATAACCATCTAGTGGTCATACTTTATATTTGTCTTGTTTCATTTGCAATTTTGCAATTATCTTGTTTCTACTAGAGAACCTGTATGTTGAGTGTTACACTCTGCAGAAGGCTGTTTGTGCCAGTACATGTGGGTTTTTACTCAGCTACTTTTTAACATGTATCTGCCATGTTTTTAAGAATATCACTATGAAGCAGCCATCTGAACAAAGGCTTTTTTTTTTACTTGGATCATCATCTTTTTTGAACATTTATGTTCCCTACCAAAGAGCAGCTTCTTCATTCTTTGTTTGAACTTCTGCGCACTCTGCCCTCTTATTTTCTAAAACTACAGATCTTTACACTCAAGGGAGAGGTGTATGTTAGGGCGACAATTTGTCTACAACTCCACAAATTCCACATTACTGACAGAGCAGTACTGTTGGTGTAATCTCAACCCCTGACTTTACCCTGAACAATAAGGAAGTTAAAGCGCTGCTCTATCCTGATGACCAAGCGGCAACCTGAAAATTAAAGCCAACACTGAAGTGCTAAAACTGCAGTTCCTCTAATGACCACTAGAGTCTGGCTCCAACAGTGAGTCAGTCCCCATAGACTCCCATGTTAAAATGTCCAACTTTACAGCAGAAATAAACATGTTTACAGCCTGGTACAAAAACAGTTTTGGTCTCTAGAGCTAATTTCATGACACCTGTTTATATAACTCACCTGTTTACATTTTATTAAGGCTTAAAGTTATGTAGAATTGAGGGCGTGGCTTCTTTGAGTGACAGGTGGGGGAGTATATGCTTGCCACAAACCGACATACACCGAAGTTGCTCAGCTCCACACGCCCCTCCTCTTTGACCATTTTTGGATTAGCTGTGAGTTAGATGGAGTCAGGTACTGCCAAGATGGCAGTGGTCGAGCAGCTCACTTCAAAACTGCTCTTCAGAAACCTATGGGTGAGGCCATGGAGGCTACGTCCACCTGGACCTCCTGGAGTAATGCTGCCAGAATCGCGTCAGTCAATTTAAATAAATCTAAAATCATAATCTTCCAAAAGAAGCCCAGATCTAAGGATACCAAAGATCAATTCAAATGAGGAAATATAGGAACATTTTACAAAATAGACATGATGATTAGAATTTGGACTAAAACACATGAAAATGTAATCCAACCAATAGCCCTTAATCGTAGTAAAAAATTGAGATCCACTCAAGAGAAAAAACAAGAAAACAGGGCAGAATTAGGCTGTTACCCATTGATTATTAACATAAAAAAACACCCTCAATTTTGGTTACATCTCAAATTGAGCCCCCAAGACACACTGAGACTTTAGGCACCACAAACACAATGACAGAACCCCCAAAAAGAGTCCCTGCTGTCAGCTGGTCCTAAGATTCACTGATCAAATAACAGCCAATACTATTCAACCTCAGACCAGCACTGTGTTCCAGCCACTAATCAGAGTAAACTAAATTACTGAATTAACAGAAGATGCCCATCCGGAACATCGGATGAATCAAACCAAAACTAGAAACAAACGTAATTGCTATCTGGCCCTAACCATGAATATAAACTGGCAGAGTGTCTCTCGGAGATAGAAAGCAGAGACAGATCCTGACTGAATACAGACTCAGTGACCGCAGTCTAATAATAGAGAGAGGACTACACAAGTCCCGGCTACAAACAGAGGAAACAGGCTGTGCTCAATGCACAACAGGTGAAGTAGGGAAGAAGATGTGACAAATGTAATAATATCAGAGTGGGATTCCTTACAGAGCTGGAGGACAAGGAAGAGCAACAGATTGTATTAGGAGAGGGACATGGAGCACACTTAGCTGCACAATATGTGAGGGACACATAATTAAAACAACATCACCGAGTGTGACAAATAATTATCTTGACATAGCCTAGCACACATATGGAACACACACACACACACGCGCGCGCACACACACACACAGTTGGCACAAGAAGAATATTGTTCTCCTGACCTTCATGCCAGTAAAGTATATTGAATTGAATTGAAAATTGAGAGAGAGAGAGAGGGGAAGGTGTGAAACAAAGAGGGGCCATGAGTGCCATTTAATAGGCATTTCTCATTAAGTGTGAACACTCATTTTTCCATTTGCTACTTGAACTTTGCAGCAGTGAGAGGTAATCTACTGGCTGACATGGCCACTGCTCCTTTACAATGATTTATATGTCATGTTTTCACCTTTAAGCCTCAGCAGTGTAAGAATGTTTTCAGCCACGACACCAGACTCTGCTGACACATTTCATTAACACAAATGTTCAAACTGGCTCCTCTCTGTCTAATACAAATAATTAAGTGAAACAGAAGGGGAATCAGATGAACAGTCAAATTAACAAATTAATACCATGATGAAGGCACTTCTCCTGACAGTCAGCTTTTCCTAAAATAAAAGTGTTAAACTGGAAAGGTATTTTTGTATAAATCAAATCACATTTCTCACATAATTATATTAAAATGTGATTGTTTTCATTCATTCATCAGCTATACCGCTTATCGTTTTCTCTTTTTTGCCAGTCTATCACAGGACTGACAAACAACCATTCACTCACAATCACACCCACAGGGCGATTGGCAATTTAGAGTGGCCAATTAACCTGCATGACTTTGGACTGTGGGTGGAAGCTGGAGCACCTGGAGGAAAACCCACGCAGGCACGAGGAGAACATGCAGGTCCCAGCCAGCCAGCAGGTTCAAACCCAGAACCTTCTTGCTGTGAGGCAACAGTGGTAACTACAGCACCACCTATGAGGCAGCATGATTGCTTTTTTGAAAGTCAGACTTAAGCATATATACTATAATATATTGGTCATAAAGACCTGACACATATTCACACTTA